CCGCCTCCTGGGTTCAGGCAATTCTCCTGCCTCAGCCTCCTGAGTAGTTGGGATTACAGGCACGCACCACCATGCCCAGCTAATTTTTTGTATTTTTAGTAGAGACGGGGTTTCACCATGTTGACCAGGATGGTCTCGATCTTTTGACCTCGTGATCCACCCGCCTCTGCCTCCCAAAGTGCTGGGATTACAGGCTTGAGCCACCGCGCCCGGCTTCTTCATAATTTTTTATTCCAAACACTGAAACTTGTCTCAAATACCTGACCTTAAGTTCCAATTTTCCAGCTCCATGATCAAGATCAAGCAGCAACTTCTCTGAGGCCCAATTTTCTTATCTAAATCATACAGTGATAATTCCTACCTCTGTTTTTTGCATATTTATTTATAAATGTTGTACTATTTATTAAGAAGGTTATTCTAGAGGCTCACAATATGTGTAAGATTTCTTTTCCTTTTTTTTTTTTTTTTTTTTTTAGATGGTCCCACTCTGTCACCCAGGCTGGAGTGCAGAGGCACAATCATAGACAAAGAAACCTCCTACCTCAGCCTTCAGAGTAGCTGCAACTACAAGTACCACTCCTGGCTAGTTTAAACAACTATTTTTTGTAAATGCAGGGTTTCACTATGTTGCCTAGGCTTGTCAGCATAAGAATTCTTATATTAGTATGATACTTTCATAGGTACAATTTCGAAAATCAAAAAAATAGCAAAACTACAAAAAAAAAAAAACTAGTCAGACTTTCTGCTTTTATTTTGAATCTTTTTTTTTCTTTGACTTTTGGTCACTCAAAATAATAAAAGCAATGACAACAATAACAATAGCTACGATTTTCTGAAACTATGTACCAAGTACTATATTCATTATTTCATGTAAAATATTTATAATTTTCACAACAATGCTGTAAATACTATAATGACAATAATTAATAATAATTTACACTATTGCAAATAAAGAGATCAAGGCTTAGAGAAGTTAAATAATTATTTCATTGTCACATAGCCAGTAAATAGCAGAAGAGTTTCGAATTCCTTTTCCTTTTATTTGACTGGGTCAAGATTCATTTTATACAAAGTAAATTTACTTTATTATCTGTGCAAATAAAATTATGAGCTTTCTGATGTAGTTATGTTAACTTTTAGTAAATTTTTAAAGAAATTCCTGTAACTCATGCTGTTTTACTAACAGGATTTTATCAATGGTGATGTTTCACTCCATGAGGAGTTTCAGGCTGTAAAAGATTAATATTCTTACTATTAATGTTTTTAAAGATAGCCCTAAACAATTTAGAAAATTTTACATATAAAATGTGTATATTTTTAGGAAATTATTTTTACAAGGTAATAGCTTTAAAATATAGCTACAAATAATTTGTTAAATATTATCTAACTTGATTCATCTTTTACAACACATTGCAGTATTAATTAGATGCACAGAAAGCATCAAGAACCTTTATTAACTGCCATGTCACATTTCATATGGAATTATCAATGTATAGGATCTGAGCATTTATTTTAAAGAAAGTAATCATTAAAGTTTCTGTTGCAAAATGTCTGCTATGTGATGAGGAGTCTTGTGATCTGCCTATTCAGAAAGCACATTGCTAGTTATTTATCTATATTCTCATCAGTCTAATATCAAATAATATTTGATCCTTCCCACTTTCTTAGATGCTTTCACTATAAAGAATGAAGCCAAAATTTTGGATGGAACAACTCATAATGCTTGAAAACATTTTCCAGTTTGCTTTATACATTATAATAATAGCTCTAATCTCTTTTCTTACTAAATATTGAGATTACAGCTAGGCATAGTAATACAGGTCTCTAATCCCAGCTACTCAGGAGGCTAAGATGGGAAAAATCCTTAAACCCAGAAGTTCAAGACCAGCTTGGGCAACATAGCAAAAGTCCCTCAACAAACAAACAATAAACTGAGGATTACTTACTTGTGTTAAATAAAATATTAGTATTCTAAACTTAATAAAGATTAATGTGGAATCCAGATTATTTCTTGGAGGAACAATTTATGTTTTCTAGCCCTGCTTGTCTGCTTCCTTGACATGGTCAGTGTTTTCAAAGGTCCCCAAGAGGCTGGATTGTGTGTGTTGTGTGTGTGGTGTGAGGGATGTATGTGACTACTTTTGTCTGTGGGAAGTAAGGGGTAGGATGGAGTGGGGGTGAGTGTGTGATAGTTAATTTTAAGTGACTGTTAATTTTAACTTGACTTTATTAAGGAATACCTAGAGAACTGTGAAACATTACTTCTGGGTGTGTCTGTGAGGGTGTTTCCAGAGGAGATTGTCAGTGATTCAGTAGATCAAGACAGGAGGCTCTGCCCTCAATGTGAGCAGATACCATCTAAGTGGCTGGGGCATGGTTAGAACAAAAGGGATGAGAAAGAATTTCCTCTCCCTTTCTGCCTTTCTCTCTCTCCTGTAGCTTGAACACTCTCCCCTTCCTACCTCTGGACATTGAAACTCCAGACTCCAGCACTGGGACTTTAGGCCTTACACCAGCACCCACTGGGTTCTCAGGTCTTTGGCCTCAGACTGAGAAATATCCTCTTGTCTTCCCTGATTGTGATGCTTTAGAAGTTGCACTGAGCCACGCACCCAGCATTCCAGGGTCTGCAGCTTGCAGACAGCCTGTTGTGGGGCTTCTCAGTCTCCATAGTTGTGTGAGCCAATTCTCCTAATAAATCCTCTACCTATCTATCATCTATCTATTTATTTAAACATAGATCATATTGATTCTGTCTTTCTGAAGAATCCTGACTACTACAGAGGGTTATTGTGGGAAAGAAATGAGAGGAAAACAGCATACATCAAAGACAGGAACTTTCAAATTAGTGTTGCGAAGTGTACAGAGGTACTTCTTCTGAGGTAATACTTTCCCATCATCAGAAAGTCTGAAGAGCTTTGCTCAGTATATTGTATATGGATTTTGATATTTGGATTTAATATCAGGCACTTATACATGTAAGAATCTAGAAACTCACAATTCTAAATGATAGGAAACTACTTAGAGGCTTTTGGCTGACAATTATGAATTAGATAAGTTCAAAGAGGGAGAGGTTTTTATTTTTCTTCTTGCATGGCTACAAGAGCAGTTTCAAACACATGATAATAATAGTGTTTTGTCTTACAAGATGAAAGTTTGATTCTACTCTCCATTCTCTAT